AAATTTTCATCTGGTGAATGGCATCAACACATTTTTTCTACACACAACAAATGCTGCAACAGATTTTTCATCCAATCACTTTGATATCAATAGAATACTTGGAAAATAGGTTTTCCATTTTCGTTTTCCTCTTCATTTTGTTGTGCAGAGAATTTTGCTGTGGGCGTTTTTTTTGTCGCACAATAAATATGTGCATACATTTGTCTCTTCGTCGCTTGTACATCGAACTCCGTTTCTTCGATGGAAATCATAATAAATTCTGTCTTCTTCCGTTCGGAGAATGGAATTGTTTTCTTCTTAGAAACCATTAAAATACTTTTTTTCACTAAATTATTGAGTACTAAAGGATTGAACTGGAAATTAATTATGATATCATCAACATTTCGATGATATGAAGTTCATACTATGAACAGTAAATGTGTCTGTGTTTGAATGAGCTGTGAATATTGACGAGCGACGCCCGTCGAGCGTTCATTAAGTTGAATTGCTCTTTTGATTGAGCATATCATTAACCCATGTTATGTAAATTAAAAGACGTAAAAAGAAACAAATTGGAATGTTATACCGGAATGAATGTGTGCGATTTATTTTATGTTCGAATTTCGCTAGACTCCTATCGTATCTACATTGGAGATTCACGAATTTTCATGCTGAATGAAGAATTTGATTCCAATTTTCTTCATCGTTCGTCCAATTCGGTTCACGTTCACGTTCACCAAAAATGAACTCATAAATATAGCTCGTCTCGGTGTATGTGTAACTGCGACGAGAATGCCATTTACCAAGGTGAAAAGTAATATCAATCAAGACTTCATGAAATTGTTGCCGAAATTGGTACAAGCAACGAAGATAAAAAGGTGTTTCTTCTGTACGAATAATATTAGCACATGATTTTATGAAAACACACCAACGAAGCAGAATGCACGTCCGCTACTCGGTTTCTGTTGCCAAGCTGCTATTTTTGGCATTGTTTCAAGCTATCCACGTGTGTTTTCGACTCGTGGTACGCTTTAAGATTTACGATTTACACATTCGCAACCAATCTTCATACTGTATACACCTGTATTTTTTATGGGCGTGAGAGAATGTGAAAAATCATTCTTTAGTATGGTTTGTTGCATGAATTACTATTTGCCACATAAATCGACTTCACATCACGCGAAAATTGTTCTGTCAAGTATTTTACATCTAAACAGAATTGATTGCCAATTTACCGGTTGTGTGTGCTTGAAGCGGATGTTAAACATCTATAATCGCTTTTATTTTGTCATTCAATGAATGTAACACACTTTTTTTTTATTCTAAAGCAAAATGTATAATTGAATTGTCTTTATTTTTGCAATGTGTTAGACACTTTCTTTTAACATCAAAATCACAAATAATTTCAAGGCACACACACGTGTTGCTTGATGCATTGACAATGAGTAATCCGAGTTGGGGGAAAAAGAGTGAAATGTTCCATTTTGATGTTGAATCGAAATGCGAGTATTTCCATCGTAGAAGAAATTTTTCCGGATTAGTCGTAGTAAAGAGAATCGAATTTGGCCGTTACTTCGATGTATAGTTCGAGTGTTGAACGTACCATTTTGACGGTGTGACAACGACATGTTGATGGCTGTGACGATACGAATGGATCAATTTCCTTATTGGCCAAAGTAGCTTCCGTAATTTCATTATTTTCCTTTGACGGCGATGATCGACATTTGGCGATTCTTCTTCTTGTAAAATCCTTTGATGTGAAACACACAAGGTTCAACGTACAATAAACTTTGATGTAACACAACAGAAACGTCAATGCACACACTGGCTTATTTTGAAATCATCACTTTTGTGGATCTTCGTCAAGAGAGGCAAAATAAATATTAAATATATTTATAAAAAAAATTGTATTGGGTGTATGTATTAATTTTAAAGAATTTTTGAGTTCATAGATACATTTATTAAAATAATAAAATAAATGAGTACATTAACCAATGTATTCGCCATCGTTAGCTATGACTTCTAGCCATCTTTCAGGCAGCTTGTTGATTCCTCGCTTGAAGAAGTCCTCGTCTTTTGAGGTTATGTAGTCATCAACCCATTTTCGCACTTCTTCCTCAAAGCGTACTTCAGACAGGGCAATCTGCATCGATCGAAATAGATAGTAGCCGCAAGGAGCAAGGTCTGGAGAGTACGCGGGCTGATCAAGCCGATCCCAACCGAGCTGCTCTACCTTATTTTTACCGATTGTTGCACGATGTGGCTTAGCGTTGTCATCGTGGAACAAAACATTGTGGTGTTTTCGATTAATGGCCGTTTTTCATCCAATGCATGAGCCAAATCATTCAATTGGCGTCGATAGCGTTCCTTATTAATCGTTTGATCTGATTTTAGCAGCTCATAATACACGACTCCTTTCATATCCCACCAGATGCACAGCATAACCTTATCGCAATGAATATTTCGTTTCGGCTGGGATGGCGCCGGTTGGCCGGGATCAACATACGCTGCTTTACGCTTGGGGTTTTCGTAATAAACCCACTTTTCATCGCCGGTAACTATTCGATATAAAAAACTGTGTTTTCTGTGCTCTGCAATATGTTTTTTGCATGTGACGATCCGTGCTTTGCGCTGCTCTTCAGACAGTTGATGTAGAACCCACTTTTCCAGCTTGCGAATCTTTCCCATTGAATGCAAACGTCTGGAAATGGTTGCTTGGTCTACGTTCAACTCCAATGCAAGTTCTTTTTGCGTTTGACATGGATCTTCATCCAATAATGCTTGCAATTCGTCTTCTTCAACTTTTTTGGCTGACCTGACCGTTCTTTGTCTTCCACGTCAAAGTCTCCAAATCGGAAGCGTCGAAACCAGTACTCACATGTACTAGACGATGGAGCATTAGAGCTACCATAAGTTTCCAAAAGCAAACGATGACTTTCAGCAGCAGTTTTCTTCGAACTATAGAAGAAAAGTAAAACTTCCCGCAAATGCTGTTTTTTCGGCATGATTGTAAGTGAAAAAAATTATGTTGTTTACGCTTTGGTAAAATAACACCTACTGAAAACTAATGTCAAATGATGTGGCTTTCACGTGAATATAGTTACAGTATGGCCCGATGCGTTATAGTACAAGTTACGCCATCTGTAGTGGAAATTCTTTAAAACTAATGCATACACCCAATATATAACCTTAAAAAAAGGAGGGAAAATGCAAAAAACTAACCGTTTTCGGTCATTTTACAAGCACTAAGCATGTTCGACACAGGCAACTTTAGTTGCGGTGCGGTCGTTGCTCGGTGATTTGGTGTGCTTCAAACATCTCTGGTATTGGGTATGCCATGACTTGCATCGCCGCCCAAAAATCGATGACAATTTGAAAAATGATGCATCTATGCATCTTTCCTGTTCAATTTGTCATTCTCAGTTACTTTTTGAAGTATTGATGCGTTTAAATTTTGACTAACAAGCATTTGTTTGGGTAACAAATTTGTTGGATATGACACATGCACGCAGTCATTCCATGTGGAACAGGATAATTTCCGAGCAAGAGTGTTTTTCCCATTTTATATATTGACGAAGCACTTTAAATGTGCCATCAGAATCTGATTGATATCAGCGTCATGTGTTGTGAATGTTTAGACACCATTGCTGGTATTCCATGTCATCTCTTACATCGGACGCATGTTAATGGTATTTTTTATATTTTGCTTCGTCCCCATTGTTCGGTTGTCATTGTTGAATAGTAAACATGGTGCTTCGAAGATCTTCGAAACGAGCGAAAAAAAAATTTCCCCATTCCCTGTCATTTGTTGACAATCTTCTCGCATGCTCATGTACATAGCTATGAGTTCATCTGCGGGCCAAAACAAAAAATAAATAATGTAATCACATGCGTCTGTTGTGACAAGCCTGCTTATATGAGAAGTGGCTTAACAAATATTGTGCTTTTTTCTCTTGCTGGTTTCCTTCTACATCAAGCTGATTGCATGACAACAATATAAACTTAAAACCCAATCCACCCGCTGTGTTTTAAATGACAGAAGCGTTTTAATACTTGATATAAAAAAAAATTCGGATATATGGAATGATCTCTTATAAATTTATGCCCATCCTAAGCTCATCTAAATTCGATGTGATTACGGCTACCAGATATTCGCATCAATGGGTGATGGAAGATATAAGAAGACAGACAGTCCTGTTGCTAAGCTCACAATATCATTGTTTCGTTTTCTTTTTTCCGAAACGCAAGTCTCCGCAAACAGTTCAAAATGTATTATATATGTCAGCCGCTCATGATCCCCTGAAGGCATCGTAAATTCGGTAATAAATTCCTCAATTTACGGCGGTTCTTAAATAAATCGTGACACATATTATCACAATATCTGTGTATTATATGTTCAGTTGTGCCCAAAGTCATAAGTTTCCGTATTTCATTTTACATCCATTGACTTCAACAAGCGTATAATTAATTCTCATTCGCATCCTATTTACTATGGTGCTGCTTGACATTGGGGTGAAGCCAATTAAGCCTTTGGAAATTCTATTTCATCTATTGGCAACAAAATACCATTTTCAGCTCACCCATGCAATTACATGCTGTGCAACCACTTCAAATACTCGTTTTTCAAGAGATTTTCTTCTTTCTTTTGCTCATCTCAATATATTGTCATCATATTTCCATTGATGAGACTGCAAAATGTACTGTATGCTTATATTCCTTAGGTCCAATTGCGAACCGAAGCATTTGTATGTATTCTTGAATGCTTCGAATCTCGCATAAGAGCCAGCGTTCATGATCTTACACCGTTTGACACATCAAAACATAAGTATTCCTTCAGTTTTGCTTCAGCCAGCATGTGCTTATTTCGATCACAGCAATAGGTTCATTATTTACAATGAAATACACAGCAAATAACACACATACATTTGCTTCCTTGTGTCCGCAACAAATGATTTTGTTTGCACAGTTTTTTTCCGACTCTCGCCCAAATTATGTGACTACCGCAGTATGCTTCTGTCTGTCGCAACGCAAACGCTGCGCTAAACTCACATATCGTTTGGCTTGACAGTTTTGCCGACGTTTGTTTTTATGTGTTTATAAATTAACGTTTGTGCGATATCATTAATAAATACATAAATGTGCGATATTCCGAGCGGGCACACGTTTTTGTGTTGGTTTTGTGATGATGTTTGGTAATATGATGACGTTGTGCCGTTATACTTGCGAAAAGAATGGAGCGCAATATAAAAGCCGAAATAGAAGCGAAAATAAAGCGTTGAGAATTTCGGGTGCTATTATAATAAGAGCAGAAACATGATGAAATAAAGTCTTGCTACTGGCGAAAAAAAAATTGGCCACATAGATAGGTTCTTGGATTGCCAGGGTAGGGTTTCGTGTGTGATTTCAAATCGAATGGACTTGCGAAAGCATTTTCTCCTAATGTTAAACCGCATACATTTCTTCCCTTCTCAACTTACACCGCATTTGTTACACGAGAGAAAAAGTTCTCTCCGTTCTTTGTTTGCTTCTCATTTAAAAGACAACATTTTCAACGCTCACTGAAAAGTGTGTAATCCAATTTACTTTTCAATCAGTTCTAATTTGCATGTTTGTATCGCATTTTATTGCCGAAATAAAATGCCAAGAATGACGCGTTGGCATTGCGAAGAATGTGATTTTTGCTTTGTGCGTCAAATATATTCGGCGTTCGCTTCAGTGAATTTCTAATTTTAATACCAAACGATTGCGTTATTGTCTTTTTTCTTCATTCACCATATATCCGCATTTGTTCAAGACCCGCATTTGATCTTTTGAACGCGTGTGGATATTTTTTGTTGGTGCATATGCTCCTAAAGCATCAGCAATTTATTTTCCATTTTATGGTTTGTTGACTTTCCGATAGATCTTTATCGCTATTTGTGAACATTTTTTTCCTTGCAATTTACACATTATTTTTTTTTTGAAGTATTTCACGCGTATGCGATCCGTCACTTCATTTCTGCTGCTACTGCTGCTGCTGTGTATATTTTTTTCCTCTTCTTTTTTTCTTTTTATTTTGTTTGCTTTCGTTCGTTTCTTTTCGCTTCCATTTCCATTGTGATTGGTTTTTCGATGAGCATCGTAAAAGGCATTTGAAAAGTCGCAAACACAGTTTTACGAGAGTCGAAAATGTTTTACTTTGTATATTTTCAGATAAGCACATTACACAGTTCATCATGTATGGTATGCTGTTGGAGAGTGTTCAGCACTTTGTGCAGGTAAGTTTTAGATAAAGTCAAAACTGGTTTCATTTCTCCCTCACACATACACATAATAACGGGAAAAAAAATAAGCGTATTTGAATCTTATTGTAAATGTAGCAAATGATAAATGATGTTGTGCGCTCAGTGTAATAAAATTGAAGGGTGAATGGGCAATGCAAAAGAAAACCTTCTAAGCTTCTCTTGCTTCAAAACTCAAACCATCCGCTTCAAAATGAGAATGAGGGTTTAAAATATCATTTTCGGGTTATTTTCGCTGTTTATTTTTAAAAATCTCGCAACATGTTCGGTGACGTTCAAGGACACAAGCATATAACTAAAACGTGAATGGATTTAGTGGTGAATCCATTTATGCAACAGCTCGCCCTGCGAAACCTGACCGTGTCCAATGCAAACTTTGAAATGGTTAGCAACACAAAAAGACGGTTTAATGAAGAGAACAGAAAAAAAACCATGCCAGATACATCACGTTGTGTATATTTTTATCAACGAAATAATATATTGTTGTTGTTTCTAGCGAAAGCGAATCGCGCGCTTGCACCATATCGTTTTTATTATCTGTGGAATTTAACACTTGTGTAAACAAGCCACTGTCATTTCATCAAAGCGAAATCGTCCAGTAACGAATTTGCACGCAAAGCAAAAATGGCACGTAGTACACTGGAAAAAAAATAGCAGCCAATTCTGGTTGGAAAAACTGTTTTTTTCATTCAATTCTAAATACTTTGCTGGAAATTAAACTTGAAGCTTTTCATTCGGAAAGTCGATAATCCCCCTTCACTGCAATACAACATTGTATGTCGTTATTCAAACCAATTTTGCGAGAGAAAAAAGCGAAACGATAGCAAAAATGCGCGCAATGAAACAAAGCCAAACATTTCAAATGTATCGATTGTATATACACACCGAATCACATTGAAAATTGTAAATTGACAAAATTCCAGCTGAAAATAATTTGTTTGCATTTGAATTTCTTTTTCTTTTGTTATATGGTCGTTTCTGAATCGTTTTGCCAATAGGACGAACCGTTAAACGTATCGTTCAGAATTCGCTCAAAATCAAATAAATCTTGAATTACACAACGGCAAACAATGGTCTAATAAAAGATATACAGCTGATCAGATTGGCATTTCAATACATTCAATACGGATTGACTGACTTTCTCGCATTACGAGCGCAATCGAATTGAGCGTTTGGGAATTTTCGGAATGTTCGGAAGCTTTCTCTCTCTCTCTCTCTCACACACACACACACAAATCTAATGGCCACGATGCTGGGGAATTTTTGAGGAATTCCACATGTTAATGGCAACATGTACAAACGTTTCGACCTCAGCATGCTGTACAGCTAGATTCAAATAAGTCATTTGCACTAGACGCAGTCTATCTTTGGTGTACGTGCTGGATTAAAGAATAATACCTAATCAAACTAAATAAATAGCTCTTTTGACTCATTCTGCCCTTTGTGTAAGCAAATTCGGATGGATGATGTTGGTCCTTCGACGCGTCCACCCACACAACTGAATATTACATTCACCTGTATCAATCTTGAACGAAATCCAAATCGTTTGCCTTCTATCCACATGAATTTAATTAAACTCAATGCACGACTTGTATCTTACCCGGCAGCTATTTGAATTTTTGTAACGATTTCCTGCGCAACACAACAACAAAAACAACCACACGATGTATGTACTAAACGTATGTACAGGATGAAGAATAGTGTGTATGAAAACACCATTCGTCGACAAGTTCATCGAAACTTCGTGTGACCTATTCACATTCCAGTCAAAGTTTAATGAAATAAACAGTATATTCAAAGGGCAACTGTTGAGGTTTTTAAGCCATTGAAAGATCACAATAAACAATTGGTAGTGTTATAGCATCTGTTCGATGGTTTAACGTTGAATTTGACCTTGATTTTCAAATTGCGTCACGTGTTCGCATCCTCTACTCCAACGTGTTGGATATAAAATTACTTAAAATTGGCTATGTTGCCTCAGCTCGCAAGCTCTCTATCTGAAACCATTCCCGTACGCATTAATAAAGCATTACATTAACCGAGGGATTCAATTAGTCAAGGAATTATTTATGAGATGCGATGAACGTCGACTGTTCACTGTTCAACATTGGAAATGATAGCATTGAATGCTATAATTTAGCCCATAGTAAAAGTGAAAATAGCGCTTGTCATAAACGAACTTTTTCCATTTCGACGATGTTTTCATTTGCTGATTGTTTTGCTGAATTTTATTTCCACGCGCGCACAAACTTACACACAGGAACAATTCGGTGACCTCGTATGGAAACAGGCGCTAAGAGCAACGGGCTGTAAGCACACCGTCTTCAATACACATCAAATTTATCCAGATACATTGATGCCGGATTTAGCTGAAGCTCTGTCAGCCATTACGTATGTATTCATCAAACTTTTCGATGACAATGGAGGAAGAAAAAAGGCGACAAAACTCGCACAGAATATCAAACGAATCTTTCCAACTTATCACTACTAGAAACCACACTGTGCTTATATCTTCTTTTCCTAAATACAGAGGCGAATCGTTTGATTATTTCATGAATTTCTTCGGGAAGTGTTTCGTGCGATTCTTCACAAATTTCGGCTATGACAAAATGCTTAAGGCGACTGGACGGTATTTTTGTGACTTTTTGCAATCGGTTGACAACATTCATTTGCAAATGCGATTCACCTATCCGAAAATGAAGAGTCCTTCCATGCAGTTGACGGAAACCGATGAACAAGGTGCGGTTCTGGTGTATCGCAGCGGGCGTTCTGGATTCTCCAGGTAAATGGAAAATGAAATAGAAACAAAACAAAACGGTATGTAGCATTGTTTTGTTATTCATGGAAATCGGCGAGGGTGATTTTTCTTGTCTATCTTGGTATAATTTCATGATAGTGTATTGTGCTGCAGTAGTTTAATCAAGCGAAAAGATAAAAGTTGTGTGCGTCTATTCTGTTTTTATTCAGGTACTTCATGGGACAACTTTGTGAGATTGCCGAAGTGTTCTACAAGCTAAACGATTTGACTGTGCGCATATTGGAGAGTAAAAATGACGATCCGGGGAGCACAACTGGCCCATTATCACTAACGGATGCAAAAACGGTGTTCGTAAAATATCGTCTTGATTTTGATAACAGAGATTATGTGAGTAAAAACTAAATTATTATACGATTCAATTCAAGAGACTGGAACCTCAAATTGGGATTTGGGGATTTTAAACAAATTACGATATGTTTGCACTTCAAATATTGATAGTTTTATTCAACGAATGTATTTCGACTGGAAATGGCTGAGAGCCCTCGGAGACGACTGACACAAAAGTGCAGTTTTTTTTTCATAATCATACTAATGGCTAGTAAATGTGTCGCATATTCCGTGTCGTGTTCAGTGTAGATAAGATAATCGATTCAGCATTTCATTCCGTTAGTTTGTATGAGCCATGTAAGCAGCCTATGGTTTCAGTGTGAAGAAAGTTTTGACATGGGTAATAGCCGTAGAGGTAACAACATCGGCTGTCTTCAGTTTGATATGATGTGGAGACTTTGTTGTAACACAACGGCACTTGCATTTGCATTTCCCTGGATCACGCGGTGTACATGGTTTTTTGACCTGATGGGCCTTTTTGTGTGGTTTTTTATGGGCCTCAACATCGGCAACCTATATCATTCACAAAAGAAAAGGAAAATGTTACATTTAATGTTCCCAATATGTCAGTTTTTCACAATTTTTAATTGAATTAATGAGAGCAATGGTGACAAAAAAAAATTCTAAATTGAAACAGAACATTGCTACATAAAAATGCATTATTTCTGCTGAAAGCACCAATTTTAAATTAAAAAAAAACATTTTTTGATTGTATCACTTATTCACTTGAAAAAAATTCACTTTTTTCAACTCACCATGTAAAGGACGCACAAAATGACGAATATAGCGATAATCTTCATTTTGAACTGATACGATTACCAATGAGAAAAAACCCTATTTATACTCTCCATTTGATCGCGTGTCGTATTCATTCATTCGTTGAATGTATTGCATTTCATTGCGAAAAGTTGGCTGCGCGCAAAGTGATTGCCAAAGTGGCACAACAAAGAAGGAGAAAAAATAAACAATCGAACGCTTAGAATTGATTTCGAAAAACTGAATGGCAATAAGAAACGTTGGACGGTTGTGAATGGTTGCGATGCGGTTTTCATTCTCTGTGAAACGATATTCATTGCATTCTGAAATCGCCGTTGACAACACGATGACGGTTTATAATAATCAGAAGCGTTGAACGACTTTTTGTTTTAATTTTTTGAAATCAAAGCCGTTTGAGGGAAAGAGAGAGCGAAACAAGTGTACAGCATTGCACACGCTTAAAGCCAATGCCAAGTTAAATAAAGGCATTTTTCCCTAGGCAACGCGATGCAATGAAAAATTTCGTTTTTGCAATACACTTCGCAGTCGCTTCAAAAATAGCATCTGTTGCAATTTTGTATATTTCATTTCAGATCTCCAAACGTGTGAATGTACGTGCGCATCCTTCACAATTGGAACTTGGGCACGTCGACAGTAACATTTTGCTCGAGCTGTTTCCATTTGCGGTAATACTTGATCATGATATGCGCATTTCACGGGCGGGCGAGAAAATTCTAGAAACATGGATTTTACAAAATCCCTCCAAACCACCGACATCATTTTGGGGCTCGCGTCTGGTAGATATTTTCAAACTTCGCCGACCGAAAGGATTGCACGTCGATTGGAGCACGGTGATGCAAATGCATTTGGTTATTTTCGAATTGGAATTAATACGTGGCGAACATGATTCAGATGAAACTGAACACCACATTGCAAAATCAGCGACCGAAAACGGTCTCAATATACCGTGCGGTAGTATGAGTCAAGCTGTCGAAGCCGCTCAAACAGGTACGCTATATTTGGCATATCCTATATTGACTTCAATACACTCACATGCACATGCACCTAGGGGCGAGACACGAATTCTATTAGAGTCTAGTTACACGCAATTTTATATATTTTTTGCTTTGTGTCCTCTAGGGTGTTTTCGGCATCGTTTAATCAAAAAATGGTATGCCTCATTCGATAGATCTCAGAATTCTGAGTCAATTGATAATATTTTTGTCGCGGATGGACTTGTGATGACACTTCCCGAAGCTGAAAACAAAAACAGTTTTATTCTGAATTTCCATAGTAACCTGTGACAACCAGATTTGATTTGAAATTTGAAAGCAAAAATTTGAAAAGAAAACATAAAATTGATTCTAGTTGTCACACGTTACTATAGAAATTCAGAATAAAACTGTTTTTGTTTTTAGTTTCGGGAAGTCCACAAGTCCATCCGCGACAAAAATGTTATCAATCGACTCAGAATTCTGAAATCTATCGAATGAAACTTACCATTTTTCGATTGAACGATGCCGAAAACACCCTAGTGTCCTCTAATTTTTCTAATTTTGGTGCAAAAGTGCTAATATTGTGCTATTATTTCTAGTAAAATCGCTTGCATAGCGTATTACACTGCCAATACAACGCTTATTGAAGACCTAACGGGACTATTTTGCAAACAATATGTCCATAAGCGTTAACATTGGCAAACCAAATTCCCTAATTTCTTCTATTTTTCCTATTATCGTTGAATAATGTTCTAATTTTACTCATTTAAGTTTCGTGTCTCTCCCTTAGACATGCACAGTGTGTTTGTATATGGAAGAAACAGATTCAGTTACCGAAAAAGAATTTCATTTTGTGATTTAAAAATATTCGCTTTTGTTACTTTTGTTTAGCAATGGATCGACGTGGGTCGCAAGGTTGGACTCGAATACTGTTGAAGGGACAAATGCGATACATCTCCGATATTGATTCGATTATTTTTCTATGCAGCCCACTGTGAGTTGGATAAATAAATTTGGTCGTATTTGAATGGCTCATTCTGATGAGATTCATCTATTTCCTTCAGTATAAATAATCTTGATGAATTGCATGGCATGGGTTTGTATTTGAACGATCTGAATCCGCACGGGTTGTCAAGAGAGATGGTTTTAGCTGGATGGCAACATTGCTCAAGGTATGAATGCAGACACAATTTTTTTCACATATTTATTTGGTTTTGAATCGTCATCAAATATACAATTGAAATCCGTGATGAAATGTCGTTTTCTCCCAAATTCAGAATCGAATTGATGTTCGAAAAAGAGGAGCAGAGATCCGATGAACTGGAGACCTCTTTAAAATTGGCTGATTCGTGGAAGCGTCAAGGCGATGAGCTGCTGTATTCAATGATACCGAAACCGGTTGCGGAGCGCTTACGCTCTGGACAGAATACACTTTCCACTTGTCAGAACTTTGAAATGGTGTCGGTGTTGTTTGCTGAAGTTGAAGTGAGTTTTTTTTCTAAATCAAATAACATATTTGGTGGTAACATCGCCTACCTTCCACTTCAAATTTCTAGGACAGCAGTTTCGATGGAGGAACTACCGTTCAAGACGCCATGAGTCGTGTTTCAATTTTAAATGCAGCCTTTTCTGCATTTGACGAAGAAGTTAACTCACCGATGGTTTATAAAGTTGAAACCGTTGGCTCTGTGTACATGGCCGTCAGTGGAGCACCTGACATCAATCCGTTGCATGCCGAATGTGCCGCTGATTTAGCTTTGAATATGATTCGTCGAATACGTTTGCTCAATTTGCCCGGTGTTACGGTAAAAATTGGCATCCATTCCGGGTCTGTGGTCGCTGGTGTTGTTGGGCTCAAAGTGCCTAGATATTGTTTATTCGGCGATACAGTCAACACGGCTTCCCGAATGGTGAGGAGCTATGAATTTATATTTATTTTCAAGAAATGACACGTGATTGCTTCTTGATTAAATTCTTAATTTCCAAAATACTTTTCTATTTTTTTCCACAGGAGAGCAGCGGATCGCCGAATAAAATTCAGATCACAAATATAGTGACAAGTAAACTAAGGTCAAAAGGATACGAAATTGTTCCTCGCGGCTTTGTAACGGTCAAAGTAAGTGCATTAAAAATCAATTGAGTTTCAATTTTATTTCTTGTTGCTGTGCTAAACGATTTCTCCTTTGGATAGGGCAAAGGTGAGATGCAAACATATTGGCTCGAAAAGGGACCACACGAAAGAGGCGAAGGGGAAGATCAATTTTTTGGTGATGACGATGATGAAGATGAAGATAAAAAAAAAGCCTTTCACTAGCTTGTAACAGATAGATTGGATTTGCAGGAGATTTTTTTGATATTGTCAAATAAATTCACACTGCTCAATGAAACCAAAGAATTTAAAATACCTCAACACAGCTCATATTCATGTTCATGGTGAAATGAACTTTCTAACTAAACATGATCATAGTAGATTTTATAGTATATTACTGTCTCGTGTCTTATAAACTGGAAAAAAAAGAATAAAAAACTATCTTATATATGTGCAAAGAAAATAAACAGGAAATAAATTATTTCAACTAACTAATGAATGATAAATGTGAAACTAAAACCACCACGATTGGAATGTTCAAAAATTGTATTCATGTAAATATCATTTTTATTATAATAAAAATGAAAGTCACTGTTAACTGAACGAGATTATATGTGTGTGACATGAACAACACTGATTCATCCATAGATGAGAATTGGAAAAAAAAAATATGAACGTGAACGAAAACTTAAATAGTACATTCTTTGATTTTGAGCAGCAGTTCCTTAATGTCATGTAAATCACCACGATCCGACAGCAAAAACCAAAAATACATTGATTCATATGGACACTGAATGTACAGAATGTGACAAGAGCGAAACTAGTGAACATATTCATGAACTAACATGTAATCACAAAGTTTCTATCTTAACTGCATTGAAGAACACAACAACAACGCCTGAAAGTAGTCAAAATTTCAAGTTTAAATCATTTAAACATGAATAAACATGTAAAGCACGTACACATTTCTGTGACGTAAAAAGTCTCATACTATCGGATCGTGTAAATCACAGCTGGTTAATACATTCGAGAAGAGTGGTCTTTTCAAAGCGATCAATTCCACCTTCTTTGAATACTGAAAATGATGAAAGAAATAAAATTCACTTTATTTTCGAATTATTCGATGGCGATATGATTATTGCGTGCATTTACCTCATTAGCTTTTTCGATTATCCTATCCAGCATTCCAGCCAATTTGGCCGTGCGATTTGGGGCAAGCACCATCTGTGTACTTGTACAGGTTAGCTATGGTGTATCGCAGCGGTCGTTCCGAATTTTCTAGGTAAATGGAAAATGAAACAAAAACAAAACGGTATGTACCATTGTTTTATTATTCATGAAAATCAGCGATGGTGATTTTTCTTGTCTCTCTTGGTATAATTTCATGATAGTGTATTGTTGTGCTGCAGTAGTTTAGTCAAGCGGAAAGATAAGAGTTGTGTGCGTCTATTCTGTTTTTATTCAGGTACTTCATGGGACAACTTTGTGAGATTGCCGAAGTGTTCTGCAAGCTAAACGATTTGACTGTGCGCAAATTAGAGAGTAAAAATGACGATCCGGGGGGCACAACTGGCCCATTATCACTAACGGATGCAAAAACGGTGTTTGTAAAATATCGCCTTGATTTTGACAACAGAGATTTTGTAATTAAAAACCAAATTATTATACGTTTCAATATATTGCCCTTTCTCACAGGGATTTTTTTAAATTAATTTTTATTGAAAAAATCAAATGGATTAAGATTAAAGTGGAAAACAGTTGACGATTGAAGAAAACAGACAGCTTTTTATAAAAACAGATGGTTAGTCTTTGTTTGTATTGCGAATCGTACACAGAGCTGATGACAATGCGTACGCGTGTGTACTGGTATATTATTGTGTAATTGCCGATCGAGCATTCACAATGGAGAAACTAAATTTGATCGTTTGATTCCCCAAAGAATATCATTTTATCATTTTATGGTTTTTTCAATATAAGTGGGATTTTGTATCAATCCATTTGGATTTTTTATCTTAAATGATCTAAAAAAATCACAGTTACAGTATGGACTGGTACTTAAATTAGGATTTTGGGTTTTAGAATAAATTACGAAATGTTTGTTTGCACTTCAAATATTGATGGTTTTATTCAAAAAAATTATTTCGATTGGAAATGGCTAGGAGCCATTTTGGCTATCACCAGAGCGCAAAAAATTCATTTGATAATCATGTTAATAGCCAGTAAAATTGTCGCTTGTTTCCTGTGTTCAGTGTTTATGAGGTTTTGGGGGACATTTACATGTGCAATTGCATACATCTACTGGACGCGGTTGACATGGATATCCGTATTTTGGATGAAAATGGCTGTGTTTGGGTGGACGATGAGGTTGATGATGACGTTGATGATGATGGTCTTTATGGGCCTCGATGTCGGCAACCTATCATTTCATACAGAAAAAAAAAAGTTGAATAAAATAACGTTAAACAAACGAATTGGAACAATTAACTTGTCTAAATTAGAACACCAGGACTACATGCAAAATGCATCATTTTAAATGAAAGTGCATATTTCACTTTTAAAAAAAACTATTTTTTCTCATTCTATTACTTTTGCACTCTCTCTAATTTACTTAACAAAGTTTCACTTTTCTTAACTTACCATTAGGTAGACGAAAAAAATGACGAATATAGCGAGGATTTTCATTTTGAACTGATACGTTTGCCAATGAAAAATCCCTATTTATACTATACATTTGATCGGGCAAGCTCGCGTTCAAAACGACATTAGCCCTATTGATGCTTGTGCATGTGTGCGACACTGTGTGTATAAACGACAATGTTCACTACAGCTTTAAGCTATACCGTGTAGAGGGTGTTTTGGCGACTTACGTCATATCATTCGCATGTATTTTTCTACGAACAAAGAGATCTTGGATCGGGTATTATATTCATTTATTCGTTGAATGTATTGCATTTTATTGCGAAAAATTGGCTGCAGAGTGCCACACCGAAGAAGGAGAAAATAGAACAAACAATCGAACGCCTGGAATTGATTTCGAAAAATTGCATGGCAAATAAAAACGTTGGACGGTTGTGAATGGTTGCGATGCGGTTTTCATTCTCTGTGAAACGATATTCATTGCATTCTGAAATTGTTTTTGACAACACTACGACGGTTTATAATAATCAGAAGCGGCAAACGAATCTTTTTTTTTAATTTTTCGAAATAAATACTGTTTATAGCGAACGAGAGAGATCTAAATAAGTGCACAGCATTGCACACGTTTAAAGTCAATGCCAAGTCAAATGAAGGACTTTTCCAGTGGGCAATGCGATGCGATGAAAAAATAAATTTCATTTTAGCAATACTCTTTTACCGTCGCTTCGAAAATAGTGTCTGTTGCAATTCTGCGTATTTTATTTTAAATGGCCAAACGGGTGAATGTTCGTGCGCATCCATCACGATTGGAACGTTTTGCTCGAGCTGTTTCCATTTGCGGTAATCCTTGATCACGATATGCGAATTTCACGGACGGGCGAGAAAATGCTAGAAACATGGATTTTGCAAAATCCTCTCAAACCACCGACATCATTTTGAGGCTCGCGTCTGTTGGATATTTTTAAGTACGGTGATGCAAATGCATTTAGTTATTTTCGAATTGGAATTAATACGCGGCGAACATGATTCAGATGAAACTGAACAACACATTGCAAAATCAGCGAACGAAAACGGTCTCAATGTACCGTGTGGTAGTATGAGTCAAGCTGTCGAAGCCACTCAAACAGCTACGCTCTATTTGGCATATCCTATATTGACTTCAATACACTCACATGCACATGCACAGTGTGTTTGTGTATGGAAAAAACAGATTCAGTTACCGAAAAAAAAATTTCATTTTGTGATTTCAACATTTTCGCTTTTTTTACTTTTGTTTAGCAATGAATCGACGTGGGTCGCAAGGTTGGACTCGAATACTGTTGAAGGGACAAATGCGATACATCTCCGATATTGATTCGATTATTTTTCTATGCAGCCCACTGTGAGTTGAATAAATAAATTTGGTCGTATTTGAATCGCTCATTCTGTGCCGGCATTCTGGAACACAATCCGCAAAAATCGTTCGAAATAATTTTTTTCGTACATAAGACCATATTGGAGTGAAAGAGAGAGATTTCACTATTTTTCAGCGTCCCACCGGAATTATTTCTCACACAATCCACTCTTCCTTGAGTTATCGAAATAATTCCGGTGGGACGCTGAAAAATAGTGGAATCTCTCTCTTTCACTCCAATATGGTCTTACGTACGAAAAAAATAATTCCGAACGATTTTGGTGGAATGACTTAGAATACCGGCACTGATGAGATTCATCTATTTCCTTCAGTATAAATAATCTTGATGAATTGCATGGCATGGGTTTGTATTTGAACGATCTGAATCCGCACGGGTTGTCAAGAGAGATGGTTTTAGCTGGATGGCAACATTGCTCAAGGTATGAATGCAGACACAATTTTTTTCACATATTTATTTGTTTTTGAATCGTCATCAAATATACAATTGAAATCCGTGATAAAATATCGTTTTCTCCCAAATTCAGAATCGAATTGATATTCGAAAAAGAGGAGCAGAGATCCGATGAACTGGGGACCTCTTAAAAATTGGCTGATGCATGGAAGCATCAAGGCGATGAACGGCTGTGTTCAATGACACCGAGACCGGTTGCGGATCGACTACGTTCTGAACAACAAACTTTCCAAAAAATAACAATCAAAGAATTTTAAATACCGCAACAAACGGCTCATATTTTTGTTCATGCTGAAATGAGCTTTCTATCTAATCATAAGCATAGTAGAAGTTTTACTGTATAGTTACTGTCTCGTGCACTGGAAAAAAGAAAAACTATCTGATATTTGTATGCGCATAGAAAAAAATGAAAGTATTTATGTTATGGAAAAATGAGAAACTAAAACCATCACGATTCGAATGTTCAAGAAATGTATTTATGTTAATAATAAAAAAATTAAAGTCACTGTTAACTGAACGAGATTCTATGTATGTGACATGAAAAACACTGATTCATCCATAGATGAGAATTGGAACAATAAACATGAACGTAAACTTAAATAGCACATTTTTTGATTTTGAGTAACAGCTCTTTAATGTCATGTAAATCACCGCTGGTTAATACTTTCGAGAAGAGTTTGCGTTTCAAAGCGATCAATTCCACCTTCTTTGAATACTGAAAATGATGAAAGAAAAAAAAATTCTCTTTAGATTCAAACTTTTTGATGGCGATATGATTATTCCGTGTATGGTAAATACCTCATAAGCTCGTTTGATGATGCTAGCCGGCATGCCAGCCAATTTTGCCGCATTGAAACCGTACGATTTCGGGCAAGCACCATCTGTGTACTTGTACAGGAATGTAACCGTTTCTTTGGTTGGATCGTCGTCACCTTCCGATTCAACCATGCACGCCATGTGACCCAATGTGATACGCTGATCGTTGTGGAAATTGTCCACCAGATTGTGATAGTGAGTGGAGAAGAGTGTGCGGCATTTCAAGTTGGCCAAGAAATCAACAACGGCCGCAGCAATCGCAGTTCCATCATACGTGGCTGTACCGCGACCAAGTTCATCCAGCAACACCAAACTGTTTACGGTGGCATGTTTTAAAATGGCCGACGTTTCACTCAATTCCACCAAAAACGTGGAATGTCCAGCCAAAATATCGTCTTGCGCTCCCAATCTCGTGAAAATACGATCGATTAGCGAAATTTTTGCCGAAACCGCTGGTATTGGTGCGCCAATTTGTGACATAATCACCAATAAACCAACTTGTCGCATCAATGTACTTTTACCACCCTAGAAAAAAAAAACATTTGGGAATATTGTAACGGAATTGTAACGGAAATCAAAAAGTGAGGGATTTAATCAAACTTACCATATTGGGGCCGGTAAGAATGGCCAATGGCGCTGTGGTTTCACCACCCAAACTGATTCCGTTCGGAATGAAGTCGTCGGTGAACTTCATACACGGGTGAATTCCTTCGTCGATTTCAATCACCGGTCCATTGTTGTTGTCGACAATTTTTGGGAAGCAGATTTGACTTTGATTCTGACCATAGACCGTGAACGAGGTCAAACAGTCCAGAATGGAAACGCAATCGATCACTTTCTTCCAAACGTCGTATTCGGTTGAGAATTTTTCGAACATACGCCGCAACAAATCCTTCAGCACAACGTTTCGTTCGTCTTCGACCTGCATCAATTCTTTGCGAAGTTGACGTGTTTCTTCTGTTGTATAGCGACTTGCAGCATTCTTTCCCTTTCGTTGGCCTTCTAAGTGGTATCGGTTGTTTGCCTTCTTCACCTCTTTTTCTGGTACCTCAATTTCAAATCGATTCCTATCCTTGCCGACATACTGCAAGCGACAACCGAAGAATTTCTCCTGCTTCTTCAAATACTCAGCCAATTCTTCATTGATTTCAGCGATTCGTTTTTGAATCGAATCATATTCGCTGTCAACACCCTTGCCCGGGGCAATTACACCTTCTTTCAACGCCTCATCGAAATCGAATCCATTCTAGAAGGATTTGAAATTTCGAAAAATTTAGTTGTTACTCAAATTCAACATAAAGGACATTAAGAACGGACATACCTTGAAGAATGTGATTGTTTCTTTGAAGTCGGGGAATTCTCCGTTTGGCGCAAATTGTGTCAATCGCTTGATAAGTGTCGAAGTAAAACCGGCGAAAATCTTTGGAATTTTGACCAAAGCGTCAAATCCATTGATTGTTGACACCAAATCCTGTACAGAAAATAAACCAGATCAGATTTGCGAACGTCAAAAATTCGTCATTAAAATTGTTTACCTGAATCTTTTTCTTGTTGTATGTTTTCTGTTCAAACAGCACGGCTCGGCCGTCTGGATGGTTGAATGCGCGATTTTTATTACCGAACGTATGGATTTGAGCCAGTTGACGTTCTAAATCAGGTAACGCACCCATAATTGAGCGAGCATCACTCAATTGATCACGTTTGTCCATCAATTCCTGGATGGCCTGTTGACGCTCAACGATGACCGTTGGTTCGCAGCTTGGCGAACAGATCCAATAATGCAGCAATCGTTTTCCAAATTTCGTGCAGCACTGATCCAAGGTGTTGAAAAGTGATCGTTCATCTCCGACAATTTTCAAGTTCGACAATGTGATTGAGTCGAGCACCATGTGTTTGTTGAAATTTTTCTTCGCCACCTCAGCTGCGAGTTGATCCAAATCGTCGATTTTCACATCCGGCGGAGTGTAGAGCGTGAAGTGAGCCATCGCCATAATCTGTTCATCGATGACACACTTGGTGAGATACCATAAACAGCCACCGAGCGCCTTCAATGCAAGCCGATAGTCGGTATTTGCTGTCAAGCCGAGATGATCGCCGCTGTTTTGTGTTATGCGAATCACTTCCGGCCACTCTTTGCCCTGCCCGATGCCGTAATACTTGTCGGAGAGTTGCTTCAGCGTTTTTTCGGCGTTCCAAAACTGAGAGTCCGGCAAAAGAACCTCACGCAATGCATTGGACAACATTTCCTTGAACACTTGCTGCAATTCTATAGAAACAGCGCCACGTTCGCTCAGCACCAAAACAGGCGGATTGTGCGAAATCAACGTAAGCAAACGTGAGCATTGTTTGTCGTCATCGAATTCTCCAATGTTGAATTCACCAATCGATGTGTCGATGAAAGCAACACCAAAACGACGACCATTCGATGAAACCTAGTAAATGGAGTGGAAACAAATCGTTTTAGAAATATCCAAAAAATACGAATCGTTGTTATTTTTTAAGCAAACCTTTTCCGCAATTGCCAACATGTAGTTTGGTTTGAATTCATTTGAAATTGCGATCTGTTGACCAAACACTTGTGTTCCCTTGTTGATGACTTGACAAACTTCACGGCTTACGACTTTGTCGAATTTAGTTGCCTTTTTCATTTTCTTCGTCCGTTCTTCCATTCCGGCTGGTGTTTCGGTTTGTTCGATACGTGCGACTTTGTAGCCACGTTCCACTAAACTCGTTGACATGCGATTGAACGCCTGTTCCGGGAAGCCAGAATGTGCATATTCACCTTTCATGAAAGTGAAACCCAATTCACGTACGCCGACCTCAGCATCCTTTCGGAATAAAGAACATACAAATGAGATAATCTGGTCTTTTATAGCGGAAAAATTGAAAGATTTCTCATTACCATGTGATACAGCTCATAGAATTTACCGACTTTGAAGAATAGTATCGTATCAAAGTGCTGAGATTTCAGTACCCACCACTGACGCATACCCTATAAATGAATTCGATTGTTGAGTTTATCTTCTTTTGCAAAAAAAACAAAAAAAAAACAAACAAATAAATGTATTAAATACACACCGGAGTGAGAGAGTCCAAATAACTCGTCGGAACAAAAAGAGTTGTTGGATCGTAGTTCGGGTCATCTGGGCGTTTTTTTGTAGCATCAAGAATTTGGCCCGGTTTCAAGAAATCGAGTTTCTGATGCCGCCAAACAACCGGAACATCAGCAATGTCGGTATTGTTGTTTTCCTTAACTTCAGACAATGCGCTCGATTCACCAATGTTTGCCTTTAGTTTATCCATGAAAGATGTTTTTGCGGTGTCCGTATCCAATTTGATTTTTTTCTTTGCAGCCGGTTTGCCGTTAGCTGACTTTCTGCGTTGTTTGACGTCATCGACATCCATTATTTGACTGTTGTCCGACTCATTTTCATCGTTTGTGTCGCATTCATAGTCGGAGTCCGAATCAATAATGCGTGAGATTTTGCGTTTTCCATTGGATTTGATGACTTCCTCTTCATCATCGTCATCATCTTCCGATTCGATTTTCAATTTCTTTGGTGCTGGACTCTTCTTAGTCTCTTTTGCTTTGCGCGCTATCAAAATTATGAAATAGTGTAAAAATCCATGCTTAACACACTACTTTGAATGCCAATTGGAATGTACTTTACCTGATGCGCCAGTTTTTGATGATGTTGGTGTGCTTGGTTTTGCTGTCAATGGACTCGGCATTGGATTTGCTGCTGGTCTGTCTGATTTCGGTGTCGTCGGACTACGAGTGAAATAATTTAACAGCGAATTTCCGCTTGCACTCAAGTTATTTCGTTTGGCTGGCATGGTTTTTTCATTTAATTGAACCGAAAAACGGTGACAACACGTGAGACGACACTACCTTTGAGCACAGTATAAAAACTAGTTTGATCCCTTTTTTTTATATAGACACAAAAGCTACAGCAGGTAAAAATTACGAAATTTACGCGGTTCGTTTTGACAACTAAATGATATTCATACTACAATAGCCTGCGTACTGTGAACCAACATGAAGTTGGTGCGCTCCCTGGTATTTTGTGTCCCTATCGAAAACGCATTCGTGCACCGTACTGTTGCGCTTGATTTAAATGTTTGTTTGTTTGTATGTTTGTTTTAGTTTCGAATAAAAATTTTAATTAAATTAAATTATTGAAGAAAATAAAAATCGAAATCACATTTGTGAAATCTTGCTTTTTTTGTCTACAGTTATTAATTATTTAAAGCAAGCGAATATTCATTGAATACTTTTTGCCGCAATGCAGTTGAAGTACTGACATGCTGTCAGTTCATTTCTCAATAAACATACCGTAGTTTGCCAATTCAACATCTCCATTATGAATTAGAATGCTCGATGCTCGATGCTCATGTAATATATTTTAAATTTCAATGGTAATTGAATAATTGCTTAAATTTTTAATTCGATTCGAAAGAATAATTTAAAAATGCTATTTCAAATGCAAAGAATAATATATTCAGTGGCCTAGTTTTGTACGCTGGTTATTTTCCATTGCAAAGAGGATTTCAACTGTTCTAGCTTCACATAATCCGAGTTCTGTTCACAGATCTAAAACGGAATACGTAAGCCATATTGTGGTGGGAATGCAGTCCAAATTTGTCTGTTAATGGAAGTTCTTTTGACGAGTGACAATAATATCTCGAATGGTCTTTACCTCCACAAGTACGTCAACAGTGTGTATTGTGTGCATACGTTGTGACAAGTAATATTTTGAGAGAGAGTGAGAGTTGCCTGGGTACAATACAGCAATGACATTTTAAAATGACTTTGTCAATGCAACATAAGTAACGACACTACTGTAGCGTTTTGGATGAAATAAAATCGAAACGGTCACTTCCTATGGATTACCCATTTTGATTATCCTGAATGCAAGACTCACCATTTCCCAATGCAAAGGCGATTCCACTTGTATAATCTTATTGAAGCTGTGTACAAAGTGCATTAAAATGAGCACACATACACGTTTTTTTCACATTAAATGAAAGGATTTATTTACATTGAAAATACATGATGTTTCATTTTGGTTTTTGTTGTTGCTGTCGTCATAGGTACATCTATAATGTGTTATTTTGAAAAGCTCTACATTTTACATTTTATGCAATAATAAATTAAATTACAATTTTTTCCCATCTCACTTCCATACATATCGTTCCATTTCCATTTTCCATTTTAACTAACGTCACATGCTTAATGTGCAAAATATTCAAATTGTTTAACAGATTTCCCTAATGCATTTCGAAAAGAGTGTGATTGTTCTTGGCTTCGCGCCGTATCTTTGTCGCTGCCGTCGCTGTCGTCATCGTCGTCGTCGTATAGTCATTTTGGTTGCGAGTGAATGCGTCGCATTCATCGTCCTCCGAGTCATCATCGGCAAATTGAATGTCATCCAATTCGTAATAGTCTTGAAATTTGTCGCTTGGCGATTTAACAACAGCTGTCTCTTTCTCCGTGCCAATATCTTTATCGTCGCTGGCATAGCTGCAGCGTTGCTCCTGATTTTGATATGAACGATGAACTTTAGCTGGTGATTCAACGCCATTTCGTAGGCTGTCATTTGATTTCTTCGACCGAAATTCGGTCATCGGAATGGAATCGACAACAATGGGAACTTTTCGTGCAAGCAATGTTCCACTCATTTTCCGGCGAATTCCTTTTGGTGCCGCAACTTCGTCCTCAACTCCACTGAATGCACTTGCTATCAACACTTTATTCAAATCAGCGTTGTTCCTTTCTTCAATGTAATCATTTGAATCCGGCGACATGGACTTTTTTGGCGGTAGTTCAGGTGCATGTTCATAGTTGCGATTCTCGGTGTTTTCATACGTGGGGGAAATTTCGTCGTAATGTGGCTCTTCTTCGCTGTGCATAACATCACTTTCGTTACTGTTGGAATCTTCGTCGTCGGAATGTGCTGTGCCGTCGTCTAGTGGCGGTATCCATACAAGATATGCCGGATCCATACCCAAGTAACTGCCTAAAAAGTTGGAATGATAAATTTATAACGCTGAAGAAACCAATAGAGGAGTAATCAACAGTAACTACCTGGGGCTGCTCCAGCATTAATCACGTTGTAATCGTAATAATCCATTTCCATATCTTCGGGAGCCAATGAGAATTCCGAACCCGGGCCAGCTAACAGTTTCTCACGGTTTTTCTTTTCTTTGCTCGCTTTAATATTCACACTGCGATTTGTTGACACACTAATTACACTTGATGCTGGCGAATAACAACCCTGCAATGGTTTAACAAAAACAAATTTAAGTTTCTCTTTAATTCCAAAAAAGAAAAAAACATCCAAATGAAAAAAAATTTGCATAAAAATTCGGATGAACGAAAAAGAGCGAGGAGAAAGAGTGAGAAGAGAAAAAAAAATATTTACATTTCGTAAAGTGGCATTACTGACACTGAGTCTTCGCATAATGTCGCTTTTGCGTGAAGCTGAAGTTGTGCGCTTATTTATGGACGCCAGCGAGTCCGAATCACGTTCACTGTCTTCGCTGAAAACTTTATTGCTGCTACTGCTACCCACCATATTCAAATGATTGCGTTGCTTTTTCCTCGTCGAGCTCATTCCACCGTTAACACTTTTCGTTTCACTTGCTACATCATCGCTGCCACTGTCCTTATTATTGCCATTACAATTAGTGTCGGTAGTGGTAGTGGTAGTTTTTGCATCGGTCGGTTCGTTTTGCTTGTCTTTATCGGTTGCCAAGGTGCACCTCCTTGTGGCGGTGGCGGTGGCAGCAGTGACGGTGGTGGTGGTGGTGGTGGGGTTATTGTTGCTGTTGCGTTTCTTTAACAAACCATCTCTTCGACGTGGCATTGGTGTGTCGAGCGGTGTGCGCGGTAAACTAATTGAATTGATGTTGTTTGAATTGCGTCGCTTATAACGAGCCAAAATTTTTCCGGTATTTTTATGGTTGTCGTCGTTGTCTTCGTCGTCGTCGTCGTCGTCATCTTCCTTGCCATCGATATGCATGTCACCAATGCTGCTGGGGCTGCTGCAACCGTAGCTTGTCGATGGTGACGTCGATAACTGTTGCGATAGAGCCTCATTAGAGCATTCACCATTCATTCGGCTGCCTTGTTTATTGTTTTTCTTTCGTTTCGGTGCTGTTATCACGTCGCTCGTTTCGCATGCATCGTTGTTCTCATTAAACGTTTCATTCGTTAAAGTATGCGTACTTTCCAAGCTGGCTGCATCGTCACTGTAAATGAACGAATACACCATATTTAATTAGTTTTTCTTTTCTGCTGTTCGCTTTTTTTCACTTCTCTCTACCATTCTTGAAATTTTATTGTTATTTCGCGTGAGCATGTTATGTCGACGTTGTTCATTTTCATTTTCATTTTCATTTTTTCCCTCTTATCTTCTTTTCATTTCATTTCTCTGTGTTCTCTCTTTACGTGGAGTTGCTCTTACGTTTTCATTTTAATGTTTTTTTCCATCCATGGCTCTTATTATTTCAGTGCTTTCGTACGCAAAGTGAAGCACGCTTTTTTCTTCGTTTGCTGAATAAATACCCTATCGTTATGGGTAAAGAAGAAGAAGAGAGAGAGAGAGAGAGAGAGAGAGAGAGAGAGAGAGAGAGAGAGAGAGAGAGAGAGAGAGAGAGAGAGAGAGAGAGAGAAAAACAGAGAAAAGTGACACAACCATAAAAATGTGTCTTTGAGCTGTTCGTCTACAAAAAATTCACGGAAGAATTTTACGTTATTTGAAACATAAAGTTGGCATGTAATGCAAACGAAAAGAAGCACAAAGTCAAATTCCTGGTGCGTGCGACGGAGGTTCTGGACAGAATTAAAAAAGCAGACATTTTTGCGGTTTTTACACCCACGAAATGAAGGAAGCAAAAAAATTGTGTGTGGCAAAAATATCCACATGAAAAAAGTTCCACGTGCAAAGCAACGGTATGCATTTTATCGGAATAAATTTTTTCTCATCTAACATCTTTTTGTTCTCATGTTCTTCTCTTTCCCAATTTTCAGCAAGCACAACCAATTTTTCTGTCGCAAAAAAAAACACGTTGAATTAAAATGTAAAATTGTGTCTCTGCAAAATGTAAATATGTTTTGTATGCAGCCAAGCCATGGAAATGATGTTTGAATTTTGTTTTTTGCATGATCCAACAAACAAAACCTCACATGGAAAAATCATGTATATCAAAAGAACTGGAGGAAGAATAATAATGATGATTGAATGCGATGCACTTGACACTCTCGCTTTTATCTTACCTGTGGGCTTTGCCATTCTGTAGAGCGACTTCGAGAGCCTCACCATCGACACTTTCACGTAACCGTGAGTGCTTCATCCATCGGCCTCGTGGTCGTATTTTAACAAGTGACACAACTTCCGATAGTAGCGTTGAAGTAGAGACGGCTCTCGACGGCAATTGACCTGCTGCTATTGAGCCCATTGATGTACGCGGCGTGTGCACAGGCGAATCGGGCTCACCCGCACTTTCAGCTAATTGATATTTACCTGAATGTAAGGTTTGTGAAAGAATTCGTGTATCAGAGTGATTCCGCTACGAATATCATACGAGTCATACTTACGATAGCGACACATGTACTGTGCACCGAGCAGTGCGCTCACCACAATTATAAGACTGCTGAATAGGATCGCGATTATGTGCACCATTGTAATTCGCGACGTGGTCGGTGTGTTAATTTTTGGCATAATGGCTTTGCTCGTACGTGGCGCTGTCACGTTCGAATGTAATGTCTCTGTATGGCGAGCAAATTTTTAGCAATTAGAAAGAACGCTGTTCAAAATTCACACAGTTCACAACAAATTTAAGCACACTCAATAGATACTCACGGAATTGTTGGGCATGTGTTAAAAAGCCCCCTTTGCACGATTCACCAATTGTCGACAATTCATTGGAGTAAAATTCTAATAAAAGTTTAGAATTGCTTGACAAAATTGCTTCGGTATTTTTTGAAGTGCCGCCGACGAATTCACCAACTAACTCACTAAGCAACGAGTCACCATCCCGAACGCGAACATATTGATCCGAGCATATGAGTCGGAAGAAGTCAAATCGGAATCGAATTCGGTAGCCGGGTTCGGCTTGGATCAACCAAAATGTACGACCAGGACAACTTTGTGCTGATGCTGAGATAATTCGACGCGGTTTTGATACAGTCAAATGAACGATGCATCCGCAACGACAGTCGGATCCAAGATCGGCCTTAATTCCTGGCCTATCGGCAAAATCCGATGGCAAAAAACTACCCGTAGCACCATAAATGCAATCCCAACTATCTGATATTGAACCGCCGCATTCTTCAGTTTCCACCGCTGGACCCTATAAAAAATTTTTAACACGCTCATCATGCTTCAATCAAATGTGCGGTGCTCTTCACATTTTATTCATTAAATGCATTGAATATTCTCATATGGATCATTCGCATGGTTTTTGCATTTTCGAGCAAAACATATTTCGATATTTCATTTACATACCTCACAAAACATTGCACCGTACCGTGGTGGTGGCGAATCACAAACACGGTATCGATTTCGTGTGCCTACAGCACATGTTGTTGAACATGGTGTCCATTCGCTCCACGGTCCCCAACCTCCGCGTTCCGAATCTGTTTTTACGCGACGGAGAAAAAAAAAACACATAAATCGGATTCATATTTTTCATTCAAATTGGTATCGTTTCACAACACTCAAACTACTACTACACCGACACCGCCTCAAACCAAATCAATTTGTGCATTTAAGTGGCACGCATTTGAAAATGAATTTATCAAATATTTACATGAAAACAGGTTTGTTTAAATGTGCGATTTGTTACCGATGCCATTACATTCGTATGTTTGTGTACTTGTAACGATATCATTTAATTGCATAAATAACTCATACGAAACGCATCCATATTTCATTTCATAACATCACGGTGAACATACATATTGCATACTGAATGTGAACAGCAAAAATTGTGTTTGAATATTTTTGTACGGAATTAATTGGAATAATTTCAACGGTAATATCTCGTTGTTTGTTGAAATTCTTTTGGAAATAATTATAAAATATTCTCCATTTTACCGAGTGAATGTTTTAATTTGGTATCGAATTCGCCGATAATTCCACGGAGTAATTATTTGCAAACGAAAACAATTGGGTGATTTCATGTCAAGATATACTTACCGCGAACAGGTAACGTTGGCAAACAATCCATTCGAACGTCCGCCACAGCTCCCGATATCGCTTGGCTCACGTATACAAAACAGTATTCAACGAATTTTTCCGAGAAAAAATCACAGTCAAAGTGCAATGCATGTTGACCTCGAACTACTCGCTGTACAATGGATTCGAGTTGGAATAAGAAGCGAGACAATGGAGAGAGAGAAAAGGAGAAAGAGAAAAAAAAAACACCAAATTGAAAACAAAATTCATTTGTCTGAATAAACGCACGACACTGGTGGCTTACCTGTTCGGTGATATAGTGCAGGGATGTCGGTGGGGCGAGTGATGCAACGTCAGCACGTAATTTGCCAAATAACCGAATTCGATCGGCTCGGTCCAAAATGCAAGCTGGATATTCAAACAGAACACCGATGCCGGTGTGCGGATCGCACGGCGATATACTGCGTGCATGCACATTGAATACGAATTGTTCGCTCCAATCCGCCTGAATAATAACCGGTGAAATGTGAAAGGCCATATTATTGATAAAAAAAAACGAATTGAAATACATGCAGTGCAAACAAATCCAAATGCTGCCAAAATTAAAACAGTGGTTTTCATTTCGCAGATTTTGCATTTAAATTGCTTCGGATATTCATTCGGTTATGAACTGAATGAGATAGAGGCAGAGAGGAGGAAGAGAAAAACAGGAACAAAAAAAAACACACACACACACACGAAAAACTGGAAAACGGAAAAAAGCCATATGCAATCCATATGGGATTTCGAAAACAAATAGTGAAATTGCATTTGATTTACCTGGATATAAGCCGTTGCTGAAACACTCGCTGCCTCTGGCCCGGTCGGTCGTAATTTAACAACATAATGTCCTGCTAAACCAAATAGCTCGCAGCTCAATTTTAGCAGACGTGCTTTTGGGTAACCGCGAATTTGTTCAGCATACAGAGTTTGCGAGCTACTCACATTGGCGCTGTCACAATACACCTCGTGACCGCAATAGTAGAGTTCGAGCCAAAATTCTGGCACACTGTCGAGTTGCGTGTGCGGCACGATGCATTCGACGCCCGGAAATTCCAGTATTACATCAACTGGCTGTTGCGGATATGTTCCAATCGTTTCGGGAGTAACGCTCAATTTTGGCTGTGGCCATCTTACATCTAAATGCTGTCGCAGTCGTTCATCACGATTATCCAACGTGTTGGCACCTTCGTCAACATCATTGCCGCCAACAATTTCAAGCTCATATGTGCCGCCGAATAGGAAATTCAAACATGAAATTGTAATTTGTGTGATGTTTAACCGTGGATCGGGATACACATCGAGTATTGCAACTGTTGTCCGATTCGTTCCAATGTAGCGGCTCACTTGCAAACGAACATCATCATTTGATTGTTTTGCTGTTGGTGCGGACGTTGTTTTCATAAAATCATCCTCTTCCGAACTCAATGCCACCGATTCGTCACTGTTGAACTGCTTGGTTTTTTGCTTTTCTTGGCTAAAATACTGAAGTTGCACATTTAAATCGCCGTTTACGGGCGAATAAGTTTGTGGTATTAGGAGATTCCCGCGCCGCAACGACTGGGCCAAATCTGAATTGATTTTTTAGAAAAACAAGAAGAAAAAAAACGAATCCAAAATCAATATTGATAAGAAACCAAATTGATTCGGCTTACAAAAGCGAACAATAGCAAGACCATAAATCATATCGGAACACAATGTGCCGGAAAATGTTTGCTTTCGAAAGAACACTGCGTTTAATTGACTATGTTCAGGCTTTTATCAACCAACGAATCGCTTCAACATCGTTGTATAGTGCACTTTCCATGGACAAATAATACTCTTTTTTTTCGAGTGGTAAATCTCGTTGAATGCAAGCTATTCTGATCTGGATATCAAACTATTGGAAACGCTTTAGTGCTCTCTTCTTATTGCCAATACAATATCGAGACGGCAATTTGGCTCCAATCGAATGGCATTCGCTGAGTGTTGAATGATATTAGGGAAACGTTTACGGTCGACACACCAAATATACGTGTGTAAGACTTTCAAGTTTGCCTTATCTTGATGTGTATATTCAAGCGAAAATGGTTATAGAGATAATTTTACATTCGCTCTCGCTCTCGCTCTCTTCGTTGACAGCATTTCACGTGTTGAATTATAAATCAACAGCCGAACAACCAACCAACGTTGACATCTCTTTAGATAAAAGTTTGTGTTTACAATTTAACGAATGGCTTCCTGATAATAACACACTGCTTCACATGGAAAGTTACTCTTCCGTTCACAAGTTATCAATGCTGCGGCATAAAAACCCAATATCTTCCACTTCTCGAATTTCTACTCCGAAATTATTGTGTATTGATTTCAATCACACGTGTTCGATGCGTGGTATACATCCAAGTGGAAAAAAAAATGTCAACGAGTTTGCATTGCGTGATGAAGCAAAAAATCGTGTACAAACTAAATGGCTGAACAGAAAATAAAAATATACAAAGGGGAGAAAGCTACTTACCAACGCTTACGAGTAGAGAGCAAACGAAAATGGCCAGTTGAACGTAGGAAATGTGCCATAAACAATACGGTCGATTCGATTGACATTGCATAATCACTCCCTCGGATTTGACTTTCATTATGCTAACGCGCTAAAAGTAATATTGCACCAATTAGGTTAACGTTCCACTCAAATGATTTTCTATTTTTTTCGGTTTTTTCTTCAGTCGTTGTTGTTGTTGTTGTTGCCGCCAAACCGGCGGTACTAATTGCAAGTTCAAGCCTTTGTTTCACTGTCACCCACACTCTTTGAAAGGTTTTAACCACTTTTTCGCACGAATTTTTCACTTTTTTCCCTTTTTGCGCTCATATTTATATTCGTCAGTGTCGTTCAAATGTTCACCTTGTTTTGAGCTTTGAATAACACTCATTATTCTCGCCGTGCCATAGATTACGGCCGATGCGGTAGTTTCATGCTGCATCGTGCGTGGGGAAATATTTTTAAATTCCATGAATGCTCTCTCAGCCACTTTGCTTACAAACTCTTTTCATCTGCAAGTAAAAATCGTGTACAAAACACCACAATGAATGACAGGAAATCCCTTTAAGCTTAAATAATTTGTTGTACGCGAAACAAAATAAAAATGAGTAGCTGCTAATGTGTCCTTTGGGATAACAACCGGACTTAAGGTGCGGCCAATTTTTCCTTCCAACCATTTACTAAAGCGAGTTTTCACACTTTTTCTTTCAGAATTTACACGAGCATTTGTGTCAGTTTCATATCTATCAAACGGTCTTTCTTCTGTTTATTTTTCGTTATTTGTAATTGGCTGCATATTTTATTTCCTCTCGTTCAAGAGTTTTCATTCCATTTCGAGCACAACCTTATTATTGCCTTGCCATTTTTTCCCGTTGAGAATTTTTTTTTATTGCACATAAAGGAATTCATCGTCTTTTTTGCTACTCAAACGAAATGGGAATGGGAAAATCTCCGAAATCTGATCTGTAAATATTGACCAATTCGAAGTGCTCTATAGTTTGGGGTTAGTAAGTTTGTTTGCGTCCCCTTTTTTCGTGATGTTTACTTTGAATTTACGAAGATCTTGTACCATTTCAACGACATGGAATCGAAAAAAAGAAGAGAAGAAAAGTGCAATGTTTTGTTTTTTTTGCCGTCAAAACTGTCCATTCGACAAAAATAAAATTGGTTAAGATAATTGCATGGCGTATTGCCCATCTCGTGCATATTCCCTTGCAAAGAGCAATTTCGGTAATATATCATCGCATCACTTCTTCATCTTCTTCTTCAATGATTTGTCTATCTCAAAATAAGCTCATTTAAATTACTTTCTTCCGATTTTCTTCATAGCAACTCGTTGGACGTGAATAATGTTGAAATGTTAGATAAGAAAATGATGTATTAGGTGGCCAATGAGGCACTCTGCTGCCGTATTCGATTCGAAAGCCATTATTCATCGATATATGTATAGGTGTAATGATGTGGGCTATCGATGCGCTCAACGATGGTGAGGTTTTATTTGCACAATGACGGTCAAAAGGAGCCCATTCGAGTGAAGCATTGCCGAGAATTTCGATAAATTTTATCGGAGAGCGAATTTCTTACATGCCGACAATGCCCACAACTATTTGTAGTTGTTATGTTTTATTGTCGTTGAAACTAAGCTAGCGCCCACATTAAGTGGCACGCTTCGTCAATAATCGTGACCAGGTTATTTCATATGCTGCGATAGTAGCGATTGTTTTTTTGCTCTCTTCTTGTTCCGTTTCGCTCATTATTTTTATGAACTCCATTTTCGGTTTGAATTTGCTCCAGGGGCAAATTTATTCAGCAGAGATTTAAGAGCGAAAGAAAGAGAGACGGAGAAAGAGTCAGAGTAGTGTATTTTATCGAATTATGGCCAATGGGGACTTCAACCAAACATACATTTTAGGATGGTTTAGCATCTCAACATTTTGTATGCAGCGGATATATCCGAGCATATCGACGAAGCAAGTCTGCTATATATCTATGGGTGAGATTGAGAGTGGAGTATGTTTTTTCTTCGATTTATATTTTTGAAAAGGCGAGTATGTTTTCTGATGATTCTGTTGGCGTTAAAGTAGAGTATGTTGTAGTACCGTCTAGCCTCCACGGTCTTCATTGTTTTCGCGCAACTGATAAAAGATAACAACATGGTGTCTTCGGCAAAGTTGTAGTACTCGAGGTCTTCTATAACTAAGCTGAAGACAGTTATCTCTTATCTCTTATCAGTTGCGCGCAAATCGCGCACATAAAAAAGCAAATTTTATATAGAACTTTTTTTTCTTATCATTTTTCGCGCTTTTCGCGGAACTGATAAGAGATAAGAGATAACTGACTTCAGCAATGTTAGTCGACAGAAACTTACTCTTCTCTTTCGTAACAAAGTCAATGAAACATACACTACTCTCAATCTCACCCATAGATATGCAAGTATATATAAGTGGCGTGCGTCGATGCGCACAGCTACATCGACTACACACAAACTCTGCGCTCTCTATTTGTGTGTAATCGATGTAGCTGTGCGCATCAACACACGCCACTTATACAGTGACTTGCGTCGTCGATATGCTCGGATATATCCGCTGCATACGAAATTTTGAGATGCTAAACCATCCAAAAACGTATGTTTGATTTCAACAACAGAAATATATAGGTATAACAAATAGAAAAGCAATTTGTGGGGGAAAGAGAGCGAGGGAAAATGAAAAAAGAATAATAAATTTCTTGTTGTAATTCAACTCTATGGTCCAATATGTTCAGAACAAGTTGTTGAAACAATGGGCCACTGAATGGTCGTTTGCGAATGATTTCGTATTGTTTTGTGTTGTTTTTTTTTGTGGTCTGAATTTGTATTTGATATGATTAAGGTTTCCAATTGAGTTACTTCTGGGCAATAAATTAAAAAAAATTACAAGCAATTTGGTGTTGATGTGAAAAATAACAATGCTCCGAATGAAATGGCGCCGATTATCCCACGGCAAACAAATCGTCGCATTATCATATTACAGCCGAACCTTCATCCGAACCGGACCGAATCGGATTGGAATACAGTTTCATTGTTGTTGGAAGAAGCAGGTCGCTCTTTGTGTTGAATTCATCACATTCGCAAAGTGGTTTTGAAAAGAAATCCCCATTTGTATACGGAGAAAGGCGCTTTGTGCTGTTGATATGTAATCAAATGAACACAAGACACTGCGTCTTATTTGCATGCAGTCTATTCTCGGATGACATTAACCATCCCCTCGCTTTAAAAAAAGATTTCTTTCAATACGACTTGTCTACTTTGGATGAGAAGAGGCGAGACACGAAGCCCAGTTTAGACCCAATTTAAATGAACTGCAAATCAAGAGAAAATTGTTCAATTGATACGATGAAATGCGACCGATAAACATGATGTGCGAAAAATACGTGGATACGCACCAGAGCTGACATAATAATAATTCGCAAAAGAAGAATAATGGCTATTAAGTGTTGCCATTTTTATACGTACGTACATATATTTGTGGGGGGGATCTTTTCGTTGCGTCTGAATTCCCATTCAATTTGCCTTCAAAATCTATTGAAAGCGATGTATTTGTATTCATAATTCATGTTTTTCGCTTTACACAAGATGCGTAATAAAAAATTGTTGCAGATCTTACCCTCTTTTCTCGCAGTGGCGAAGCATTACAAAAGGGATGACGACCGAACAACGTGTATGTATGTATGCGACAAGCAGTACAATTGATTCATTTTCGATAAATGAAAATTTATATTCCATTTAGGTGGAATGAGGATAGCGTTGAAATACGGGGCGAAACAACGAATATCCATGGTGCCACATCGAAGGCATATTTATTGGTTACTTTTATTGACATGATGGATCCAGACACAAAACTTTTACATTTATTGCAACGAAAAACCATCGTCTCTCGCTTTCTCTGGCAGCCATTTAGCAACAGAATATTTATTCAAATGTAATTGAATCCCGACGCGACATAGACAATCCGCCCGAAAACTGTTTCGAGTACTATTATAAAATTGAAGTTTCGTTTTTTTTCGCAATTTGATTGAACTCGTCTGAGAATGTTAGTTCACTTTCGCTCAAGCTGAACAAATTTCCCTCGTCTGTTTGAAAATCATAAACATTTTTAAAGCTTTGAAAAACTTTTGCCACCAATCAAATGCACATTATTTAACAGCTACAGGCGCGGCCCAACGGCTTTTTTCGGATGAAGTTCAACAAACTTGCCGTTCGCTTGAGTTTAATTTCACATTATGCACAGAATCAAGCCAATTTTAACACGACAGCATTTAACGTCGTTCTTCATCAATTGTGCTCCGTAATGAGACTGATTGCAGAATTGTTCAAATCACAAGTCTGAATCAAGTGCTTTGTTAAATGCCAAGTATGAGCATAATATTAAACAATGCAATGGCAACAATTCAACACCATTTGGATGCTTTTGTTGTTGAGTGCTGGGCAAAACGTTGAAAATGTTGCCAATGAATAGAATATCTTTATGAATTGGAGTGGAGCACGATGACAAATGAATAAATGAAATTGTCGCATCATCCAAAGGCTAGCCTCACCTTTTGCTGCCAACCCAATTCACAGCATTTAGTCTTACACGGAAAATCATGGGAGCGTGTAAATTGTAAATTAATACGTTTTACGCTAGAATATGCCATGGCGCAAGATTAGAACTGGCTGTAAAAATGCAGCAACAACAACCGAAAACAAAGGAAATAAAATGGAAATGCGAAAAAGGCTGCTCGTTACAAAGATATGCAATTCAATATGTCTCTCTATTTTTTTGTTTATATTCCATATTCAAAAGTACATGCACATAGTGTCCAATGGTCATTGTCTGTGTCGCAGTTGCCTTGTCTACCAGCCAATTGTTGAAATGAAGCACTTCAATAGGTGCAGCTGATTGAAACAGAAAAAAAATGAGGCAACATTGAATTTTTGTGTCAGCCAGTGTCGTCTTTTAATCAATGTCGAACGAGTAGATGATATTTGCGCTTGGCTGATGTTTTTTAATTAAAAAAAATATATGAAGAAAGAATGAAAACAATTTTTCAAAAATAATAGACACAATGCAATTGTGAAACTATGAAGCAACCATTGAAATGTTTCAAATTTACAAAATGAAAATTATTTTTCATTTTTCATTTAAAAACGCTTTTTTAATTGGGATGCAAAATAATTGAATTTTTTTCATCTGAAACTGTTGTTACATATTTGGATACATAGTGTGTGTGATGCCATGAATATTTTTGTGGAAGTCGAAAGAATGCAGTATAATATTTCACACAACTATCTCCGCAGTGGAGCCTCCACTTTGACATTCCACAAAACACAAAGCTCACATGATGATACTGAGATGATAATAACAATGAGTTGCATTTCAATCCAATTCATGGAATGTATCTTTTGATTTTCTGCCATGGTGAAATTTAACTTGATTCATATAAATTCTCTTGCCGCTGGCATTTTGTACAGTACTTTATTGCCTGAAACCATCCGTCGGTGTCTTTGAGCACATCACATCCTTTGTCAAATTAACAGTCACATAAACGTGGCCATTTGCCGAAATGAACATGAGCGAGTATTAATTTGTGTTCTGGAAATTTGTGGCAATAAATTGTGTTGTTGTACAAGCAAGTAAACATTTCTAGGTCGCTGTGCCCGTAAACAATGTCTTTACAATGGCTTTATTTTTCTGTTTTATTTTTCAGAGAGGGAAACCTAAAATGCGAAATACAGTGATAAATATGTAGCCACACACACACACACACATCCATTTGGAAAAAGACAATTTAGACATTCCGTTTCGTGTCATTTCGAAGAAGAAAACAAAGCAGCAAAAAGTTTTTGGCGTCTGCTAAAAACCGAAATAAATAAATTTCCATTATGTAAAGCAATTGGGATAACCATGTCAACACACACACACACACACCATCACCAGTGAAAGTATGTACCAAAGCACAATTTACGCAACGCAATGTGATGGTGACGGTAGCGGTGGTGGTGGTCTTGAAAAATTCCATTTTCATTAAGTTTCGCGAAGCGTGTGCACATGGCAACGAGCACAACCGTACAGAACCAGAGAGAGAAAAAAAAGTTCAATCCAAATGAATACCACCACACCGCAGTGGAGGAATACAATTAAAACATCATTGCGTATTCATTAAATTTATTTTATAGAGTGCGCAAATTTTCTCGTCTCATTTTGTTTATATATATTGAAATCATATCTCTGGAGTGAGGTTTGTTTGTGTGTGTGTGTGTGTGTGTCGCACGCGCGCGTATGGTAATTTAGCCCGAATTCTAAACGGTTTCTTACCTAACTTTAACTTATCGCTATGTTATTTAGCTGTCGGCTGTGTCAAATATTTTCGACCAAATCGTGACTAAAATGCTGTTAATGCGGACGAAAAAAACAAGTTTTTGGGAACGGCCCCGTAGACGCTCCATTATAGCGACATCAAGTTGATGTAACCTTGAAAACTTTGTCACTTTCTCGAGCCTTGTTTTCTCTATCATTTTAACGCTTTGACAAAAAGACTTTTTCGTTCAAAATGCTAAGAAGATGATGGTATAACCGCTGTATTTATCGAGGGGATTCGAAGCTATCAAATGGAAATCGATTTTATCGATTTTTTTTCATTCTCTGTTTCGTGAAAAGGCAAACACAAATAAATTGCGGGCTTACTTGTTGGTCGCATAACAATATGGAAAAATGTATAAAAAAAATAAAAAATAAATGTGATTGGAAGTCGGCCTTTTTATTATGCGCCGTTTCATTGTTGCAATAATGGCTTTTGATCAGAAGTGGAAACATTTTTAATCATCGTTCAATCAACTTTTTTTTCCCATCGACACCGCAGTTCAAATACAGTTCACAGCGGAGAGAAATTGATTGCGTTTTCATTCAACTGGAAATATGCATATGCTAATTGGATCTCACACCATCAATGTGACGAGTTTGTGCATTTTTTTCTCTTTCGATCGCAATACACAAAATCATGTCATTTTTTCTTTAATGATAAACATAGTTGGTGGAAATTGTCACACAAATAGCTGTGAATGTGGAAAAACTTGTTGGTAAATGGATTTAGTTGATTGCGTGAAAATGGGAATTACGCTTGAATATCGTAAAAAATCGAAATACAAAATATAGTTACCGCCAAACACATATTGTCAGAGTTGTGATTTACATCACAAAAATAAAGTGAGTAAATGAGGTGGAAAAACCAAGTCTGCATTTTGGACCGCACAACCAACGAAAATAGCACAGACAATGAGCGAATTCACTCAATTTTAATTATTTGGCTAATTAACTTTTCGTTAATTTGTTATATCAAACAACTTTTCTTTGTGCGGATTTCATTCATTTGCTCCGCATTTCGAGCGGAGCCTTAATTTAATGTGCTCTTGATTTATACAGACTCTCAAAGTTTCCAAAGTTCGTGCGTCAAAAGAAAGAACCCGATGTAAAAACCGCACGATTTGGTTACTCTTCACCTTTAAGCATTCGTTGCTGTTGTACAAAGTTTTAATAAAATCCAATGAAATTAGGTAAAACGAAATAAAGTAACAATCGAAAATTCATAATGTCGAAAAAGCAGCGACGATGAAATTTGACGTCGACGGCGTTGGCGGCGGCAACGGCGATGGTAATTTTCCATGACTTAACTCACCTTGGCATCGCATTCGTTTGTTAGGCATAATCCTAGAATAATGAACGAACTCCCATTGAAATTATTTTCGATGCTGATTTCCACAAAGAAATGGCAAACGCTATGCTTATCATGCATGAAGCACCTTCGATTTTCTCCTCACACCGAAAAATGTCATAAATTAGAGAATTTGATGGTAAATCGATGTGAACTATTGATTTTCGTTGAATTCAAACACACCAATCTAAAATGCGATAAACACAGAATTGTTGGTGACGGGGCGCACGCCTTAAATGATAACTTTTGATTCGGTGAATTATGATTATGAGTTTGTTATAAAATGGAAATGGAAAATGAGCACGAACGAGTGCATCTCATCCAATTGAAAATGATAACTGTCTTTCGTCGTTTCGATGAAAGTAACGGCAACATCAGCAGCAATAGTAGCAGGAGCACGATGATAATAATAATAATAATATACGATTGCAATCAAATGCTCAACATAATCGCATTGAATCGCATTTTAAAGAGCAAAATTTCACAAAACTGAATGCATAATCAACATATATATGTTTGCAGAGGCAGAGTCGGTGAGCGTCACCCTCGCTTCGACAATGAAAATCCATTCTTTAATTTACATACACTGTTTGATAGCACTCTTCCGGCTGTATGGTTCGACGTATGTTTGTATCGTCAAATTCGTGCACTAAGTGCATTTGCGGTGATTGAACTCGGCCCCAGCGAATAACTGTTGGTTTCGCTGGAAATCACTCATCCCAATGTTACTATCTCTGCAATTTCGTCGGAATCTCATTTTTTCGTTTGAATAGTCAAAATCAACCGCCCACTATTTTCCACTTTCAAATTACGGTCTCATTCCTTTTCTCCTTTTTTTTCTCACTAAATCCCATGAATATCAAATAATTCGGTTATAAACTCACAAATACTACATGCTCAAAATTCGTGGAAAAAAAAAACAACTTTCAACTAAAAATGGAATGAATGAGTCATCAAATTGATTTCACTTGCACGCTAACAAAATAACGATTGGAATTTTGCTTGTTTTCGATTTCATTGACTTCAAATCGAATCGAATCGAAACGATCGATGCACTGAGCCGAATTCGAATTGTTGTATTTGGCACGCGCGCACCAACCAATGCAGATCGCGACTCTCACTGAATGAAGCACGAAACAAGACTGGATTGTGAGGGTTGATGGCAACGGTTCAAAATCTACCCTCATCGAATTTGGTGTACGGTTTTAGCGCTGCGTTTCCATCCGTTTTGTCCGCAAGCGAAACGCATGCGATGCGCTCACTGTGAAAGTGTAAATGCGAAGGGTGAATGTGAGTCGACCGAAAGCCGAATGTATGAATGAAACGACTAGAGGATAACGCAAGCGACGCTCGTCCATATGCGCTCGTGTAAACAAAACAAAAACATTTTGGTACGCGCCGTGGTGAGGGGACTTTGTGCATCCGAGCAGCGATTCGTATAAGAAATTAGAAATCACATGCAATCCATGTGTTGTACAATATACACCATAGAAACCGTGTAGCGATGTTGGTTTCGTAGCCGGCAAAACATGCACTACAGCGTTCCCATCTCATGGGATCACGAGAAAACATGGAAAGGCATTTTCGCAAAACGCACATACTACTATCCACTCTCTCTGGCTTCGAACACCATTCGAATAATAGCGATGCGATATGTCGTATCCATCCATTCCGAGTTTGTTTTATATTCGTTTGTTTACATTATGGTTTTGCTCATTTCTTTACTTAAAAGGTTATTTACTGGAATATGAGCCGTCTTTTCTCGCTCTATTCCTCTCTATCTATCTCAACAATCGCCTCAGTCTCGATGGCGGTGGTGTGGTGTGGTGTGGTGTGTATGTGTTTCGTCGATGTTGTTGCTGTGCGGTTGTTGCATAGTTTACTTTGTGCTCCACACACACACATACACATGCACGCGAACCACGGATATCAAATGAAAAATGTACGAATTTCAATGAAAGTTTTATGAATATTTCACGCTGTACCTTTTTCCGCATTTTCCACCAATGCCAAACAGCACGAATCGACAATGTTTTTACCATAGACAAATGTGTAATTCAGGTTTATGTCTTTCTCTTTTCTAGATATATATATATATACCTTTCTAGCTCTCGTGTGTACTTTTTGTGCCACGGTTGTGTTTACGTGCGCTTACAATTTAGTCAGGCCGCGTCGGTGTGTAGTGTATTTGAAATGAATTCGTCTTTTGCCCAGTCGCTTTGCTTTTGGTCGTGTGGTAAATTGTGAATTATATGGAAAATGTATGTTCCATTTGAATAAAACACGCAGACAAATGCTGGAGCGGGGCGTAAATGAGGAAAATGGAAAAAAATAAGAGCAATAAAAGAGAAATTGGAAAAACAGACGGAGGTGAACAACATTGAACTAAATAAATTTCACCGTTTGCTGTTTTGTGTGCGGTTCAAACCAAATGATACTATGCTCACGCTAATGCATTTTTTCGAAAATTGCCGCACAAAACACGATCGACAATGAGAGCGACGCGTTTAGTATGCTCATCGAACTGCGTTAGAAAGACAAACGACAGTTAAAATAGAAAAAAAAGCAGAGGCGAGACGAGAGAAACTGCATTAAAATTAAAAACGGGAAAATGGTCGGGTATTATCCGATAAATATCGAGCACACGACATACTTTGTCAATCGATCGCGTGGTTCTGGTGCTGAGCTGAGCCTTGTCGCCGTCATCCGTTCATGTGTGCGTGCGTATGTGTGAGTGAGTTGCATGAATACCAAATTGCACCCTTATTTTTCAATGCGTATCGAGAGTGTATGTAAAACAGAGTACAGTTTGTCGAACACACTTCGGCACAAGGGGTCGATGCGCTTATTTTGCTTTAATTCCATTGACGTCGCCATCGCTGCTACCATTCCCGTCCTAATTGTTGTTGTTATTATATTATATTTTGGCAGTTCCTTATTCCTTCTACTCTCCTCCGTTCTCAGTTGGAACGGGACGTACACAAACCAAATCGGACACTGCTTCGCCGATTGAATAGCTCAATGCTGCACCCCTGATGTGCCTTACAAGTACAAATCAATGTAATTGTAAGTGGTAACGCACATTATTACCAAAAACGAGCCTCTATCTCTGTTCGCTTTCATATCCAAATATACATTCAGTGGTTCGTCTTTGCTTTGAAATATATCCCGTCATTCAATTTCCATCGAATGGATGGACGAACAAAGAGAAAGAAAACATAACGGAATAAATACGATAATAATAATTCTCATTGTTCCGTTCGTTGAAATGGTCGGTCTGCTGATGGAAGACACGACATAGACGTTGTCGACAGCGGCGACGGCAACAGCAGCAGCAACAGCATCGACGACGATGGCATTTTATTTTCATTCGTTTATAATGATGATACACGCAATTTCGGCAGATATTTTATGGGCGATTTCAACAGTTGTTGTCTCTTTTATGTTTTTTCATGCGATGGCTGATAAACGAGAGCAACTTCATGCTAGAGATAAACTTCAATCTGTCACACTTGCTCGTTTCGTTTTATTTGTGCATCATTGGTTTGCGTTGTTGTTATTGTAGTTCTTTTTTATTGCGACGGCCAACAAAACCATTTGTTACTTTATCTTCATTTTCGGTTGTGTTCGATATTGTGCATAAATTATTGTTTCCGTCGTGTTGCTTTCCACCCAATAAAATCCAATGATTTTTCTCAAGAGAAACCAAACGAATCACAGCCTAGTGATTAATGAACGCGTCCATTTCAAGCACTAAATAATTACCAACATTTTTATTTTATCAATTTACAACCGATATCCACATAGATAAATTTCTGGCCAACCAACCACATAACATGTTACTATCATCACTAGAATTACCTTTTCCATGAAGAAGCCCATTCAGCTTTCGAACATCTGAAAATCAATTTCCAAGTCCATTTGGCAATTTGTTCCGTTGGCTTTGTTTGATATATCAAACGAAATTGGTGCTAATGCCTTCAATATAACGATTTTTTACATGGTTCCCTTGCATTGAGGGCATTCATTTATTCATTTGTTCATACAAAGTTTCAAAGGCAACAGCAAATTGCAAATTGGAAAATAGAGAATTGAAAGAAAAAAACAACAACCCTATCGCATCCTGACACGCCTCATTGAAACACAACAATGATAATTTATTAATTTTGCGCATATCCCTCGTCAAGTAATATCTATCATTATATTACACTGAAGTGAGACGCTTCCATTGTTTTAAAAAATTAACAAAGCGATAATAATAAATGCTGAATAGGTTTCTTTCAAAAACAACAAAAACGCACACACACACACGCGCCTCTCATAATCGCTCATACATACAAATTTGTCCCTGCACACGCCGTATAACTGATTTGATTGTGTTTTGTTTTCCATAAAAAAAAAAAAAAAAGGTTTTTCGCCGAAGCCATTCATTGATTAAAATATAATGAGCACGTAGAGTGTGTTGGGGGGGAGAAAATCGTTTGACTTCGTCAACGTCACGTGCTCTGACATTGATAGATTTTCACATCTGCATACAATTCTTCTTCATTTGTACGTGGTCAAGTATTTGAATAAGCTGTTTCGAACAATACGCTTGCATCACACCTAAATGGGCGCACACAACGGTGCGTGAAAAGTGCCAGTGAATGAGATTCCATTTTGAAGCGAATAACATGGAAACAAATATGAAAAATATTTTACGGCTATGCGATTGAGTCGCACGTATACACCGTCGATTGGCAGAGCATCGAGTTTGGCACATTGCTTGTTTGTTATGTACGCAATATCGGGATTGTGAGGCCATATCCACTTGATATTCGAATGTGGATGCCAGTGAATTTGGATCATTTTCAGCAATAACATTTTAAATTTTATGTTTTGCCATCGAGATAACGCCCACACACACACACACATACACATACAACCACACACGCACATACGCGCCACTTTTACAAATTGTCTGTGGAAAAGGGATCCAAATATTATATGATTGCATTATTACATTTCTGCTATCATTGTTCGGTTTTACAGTTGGAAATGTGATCCAGTGTATTTCGGTTAATGCGTATTAAAAGTTTTGACTCGGAAAAAATGTATGTAACCTATCTCAAAGGCTTCGCACGGGCAGAGAGACTCATATATGGGAATGTGTGTCATTTTCCGGCTCATTTTGATCATTTCGACCGGCATACATTTGGCAAAATGTCGTTTGCACTGGAATTTATGATGGTGTGCGGTCACTTGGTGTTCGTGTGTGTGCATGTCTGAGCGGACAGTGGAACGGTTTTGGTAAAAGGTCAAGCACGACAATGGCCCCACTGTGAAATTCGAGTGGTCCGTTCAAATTCGTCAGCCATTTAAATGAAGTCATTTCTCGGTGATGGGATGTCTAAAATTGACTTTTGCCATTGAAACGAAATTAAATTTTACACAATTTGCCATTCGCTTGATCCCGCCTAAAACACATTCCATATAGTTTCGAATGAGTGTTAGACCGTTATCTGTCTACGTTTTACGCTTCTATTATCAAATTGTTCATTTTGTTTTTAATGAGTTGCCATAGAAATGTCGATGGTGTGGTGAGAATGTTCTTTAAACTCAAAATAACGGCTTTGCTCGACCAGCATTGCTGCACATGACACTCACACATAAAATCTCACAAGCACGCATATACCATCGGATCGGAGGGACGCCAGAACCATGTTTCATCACAGTGAGGCATAAAATGTGAAAAACAACGCTTGGGATAAAAAGTTTATTCCACAGAAGGACGCAATTGAAAAGAGCGGGAACATAAAAGACAAATGACTCCGCCGTGGTTAGCCTCGTAGTGTGAATGACTTTTGAAAGCCGTGCATTCCGGCTATACACATGATGAACGCACCTATGCCTCCTGTTCATACATGAAATATTAATTGTAAATCCGGCACAGAACACGGCTTTGTCTCTCTATTCATCTTTTATCCCGTTGTTCCACTCGATACTTTGTATCGCATGCAAAAAGGGCCATAGATGCACACAGCTAATAACAAAGTCAATAGAGAATATATGCAGAAAAAGCATGAGTTTTAGTTCATAACGGAGTGAGTGCAAAAAGCAAAATACCACAAAAAGGGTCGGGCGGCAATCGGAGCGCAGAACACA